CCCGCATGCAGCCAAAATTTCAGATGGTGCATTAATTTTTTTTTTTCATTTTAAGTTCAAAGCCCTTAAAACTTTTCAATGTTAACACAAACCATTTCCATACAAGGCACTGAAATTATTCAGTCTTAACCTTTAGAAAAAGCATATTGCATATTTGTAGCCAAAATAATGGCTAAAAGAATGAGCGCTGAAACTGAAAGTTCAAAATTTTTCCAACATTCAGGAAAGATAAGTTTGTCTAAAATCATTGAACCATGACCAAATTCAAACTTAAACTGCTTATTCCTAAGATGTATCTATATTATTTTCAAAGTGAAAGGGACATAACTCTGCCAAAAATCCATCAAACCATGACCAAATTCCAACTTGACCTGCCCATTCCTTTGACATATCCATATGTCAAATTAAAATTGAATATGTAACACTGTTGGGTAAATAATAAACAGAAACTGTAAATTTCATATTATTTTCAAAGTGAAAGGGGCATTACTCTGCCAAAAATCATTGAACCATGACCAAATTTGAACTTGACCTGGGCATTCCAAAAACATATCCATATGTCAAATTTGAGTTGAATGTGTTGTACCATTGGGGAGATAATAAACGGAAACTGAAAATTTCATATGACTTTCAAAGTGAAAGGGGCATAACTCTGCCAAAAATCATTTAACCATGACCAAATTTGAACTTGACCTGCGCATTCCATTGACGCATCCATATGTCACGTTTGAGTTGAATGTGTTGTACCTTGAGGGAGATAATGAACGGAAACTGAAAATTTCATATTATTTTCAAAGTAAAAGGGGCATAACTCTGCCAAAAATCATCGAACCACAACCAAATTTGAACTTGACCTGCGCATTCCTTTGACGCATCAATATGTCACGTTTGAGTTGAATGTGTTGTACCTTGAGGGAGATAATGAACGGAAACTGAAAATTTAATATTATTTTCAAAGTGAAAGGGGCATAACTCTGCCAAAAATCATCGAACCACAACCAAATTTGAACTTGACCTGCGCATTCCTTTGACGCATCAATATGTCACGTTTGAGTTGAATGTGTTGTACCTTGAGGGAGATAATGAACGGAAACTGAAAATTTAATATTATTTTCAAAGTGAAAGGGGCATAACTCTGCCAAAAATCATCGAACCATGACCAAATTCGAACTTGACCTGTATTTTCTCATGACATATCCATATGTCAAGTTTGAGTTGATTGTGTTGTACCGTTGGGGAGATAATGAACGGAAACTGAAAATTTCATATTATTTTCAAAGTAAAAGGGGCATAACTCTGCCAAAAATCATCGAACCATAACCAAATTCGAACTTGACCTGTATTTTCTCATAACATATCCATATGTCAAGTTTGAGTTGAATGTGTCCAACCGTTCTTGAGATAATGAACGGAAACTGAAATTTCATATTATTTTCAAAGTAAAAGGGGCATAACTCTGCCAAAAATCATCGAACCATGACCAAATTCGAACTTGACCTGTATTTTCTCATGACATATCCATATGTCAAATTTGAGTTGAATGTGCCCAACCGTTCTTAAGATAATGAACGGAAACTGATGATGACGGAATGACAGAATGACGGAAGGACGGAAGGATGGAAGGACGGAAGGACGGAAGGACGGAATGACGGAACAGGGTAACACTATATGCCCCGGCCATTACATGGCGGGGGCATAAAAATATATTAACAGAAGTTATACTCATTAAAAATATATTGTTTGGGTTGTGTTTTAAGTAACATTGATATTTTTAAGTCACATGGTGAGTTGGATGAAGGCGCTACTTTGTGCATTATTTCAGGCACAAGCCAGGACCTTAGTTTTAAAGAATCCAAACTGAGGACTGTCAGAATTCGAAATCTATCTAATACTAGAAATGTGTCATCATGCCACGGATGCCCCCGCATGCAGCCAAAATTTCAGATGGTGCATTATTTATTTTTTTCATTTTAAGTTCAAAGCCCTTAAAACTTTTCAATGTTAACACTAACCATTTTCATACAATGTTCAAGGCACTGAAATAATTCAGTCTTATTTAAACCTTTTAAAAATAGCATATTGCATATTTGTAGCCAAAATAATGGCTAAAAGTATGAGTGCTGAAACTGAAAGTTCAAAATTTTTCCAACATTCAGGAAAGATAAGTTTGTCTATAATCATTGAACCACGACCAAATTCAAACTTAAACTGCTTATTCCTTAGATGTATCTATATTATTTTCAAAAAGAAAGGGACATAACTCTGCCAAAAAATCATCAAACCATGACCAAATTCCAACTGGACCTGCCCATTCCTTTGACATATCCATATGTCAAATTTAAGTTGAATATGTAACACTGTTGAGTAAATGATGAACAGAAACTGTAAATTTCATATTATTTTCAAAGTGAAAGGGGCATTATTCTGCCAAAAATCATTGAACCATGACCAAATTCGAACTTGGCCTGGGCATTCCAAAAATATATCCATATGTCAAATTTGAGTTGAATGTGTTGTACCATTGGGGAGATAATAAACAGAAACTGAAAATTTTATATTATTTTCAAAGTAAAAGGGGCATAACTCTGCCAAAAATCATCGAACCATGACCAAATTTGAACTTGACCTGTATTTTCTCATGACATATCCATATGTCAAGTTTGAGTTGAATGTGTTGTACCATTGGGGAGATAATGAACGGAAACTGAAAATTTCATATTATTTTCAAAGTAAAAGGGGCATAACTCTGCCAAAAATCATCGAACCATGACCAAATTTGAACTTGACCTGTATTTTCTCATGACATATCCATATGTCAAGTTTGAGTTGAATGTGTTGTACCATTGGGGAGATAATGAACGGAAACTGAAAATTTTATATTATTTTCAAAGTAAAAGGGGCATAACTCTGCCAAAAATCATCGAACCATGACCAAATTTGAACTTGACCTGTATTTTCTCATGACATATCCATATGTCAAGTTTGAGTTGAATGTGTTGTACCGTTGGGGAGATAATGAACGGAAACTGAAAATTTCATATTATTTTCAAAGTAAAAGGGGCATAACTCTGCCAAAAATCATCAAACCATGACCAAATTTGAACTTGACCTGTATTTTCTCATGACATATCCATATGTCAAGTTTGAGTTGAATGTGTTGTACCGTTGGGGAGATAATGAACGGAAACTGAAATTTCATATTATTTTCAAAGTAAAAGGGGCATAACTCTGCAAAAAATCATCGAACCATGACCAAATTCGAACTTGACCTGTATTTTCTCATGACATATCCATATGTCAAATTTGAGTTGAATGTGTGCAACCGTTCTTAAGATAATGAACGGAAACTGATGATGACGGAATGACAGAATGACAGAAGGACGGAAGGATGGAAGGACGGAAGGACGGAAGGATGGAAGGACGGAATGACGGAATGACGGAACAGGGTAACACTATATGCCCCGGCCATTACATGGCGGGGGCATAATAATGTCATGACCAGCATACAGCTCGAGACATTAGTATCATTTGAGTTAAGTGGTACAAAATTCAAATAATTCTTCCAGGCTGGAAGTAGCCTTACAAATTTGCAAGTATTTCAGGACTTTTAGCAACAGTTGCTGTTTCTGTACAAATGACAGTTAACATCAGTTGTAAAAGTTGCAACACAAAAGAAAAATATTTGAAAGAAATTTCACATAATCATTAATTTTTAGACATGTGTTTGTACACATCACTTAAAACATCTAAGTATGGTGTATATATCATTTCAAGTACCTAGGTATGGTGTAATACATATAAGCCGCGATATGACAAAACCAACATTATGGGTTTGCAACGCATGGATGCAGACAAGTCTGCGCATCCGCGCACTCTGATCAGGATCCATGCTGTTCGCTATCAGTTTCTCTACTTGTAATAAAGTTGGTCAGCGAACAGCATAGATCCTGATCAGACTGCGCGGATGCGCAGGCTGGTCTAGATCCATGCTGGTCCGAACACACTATGTTGGTTTTGTCGTGACGCGGCTCATATGTATATCATTAAAAGCACCTAGTATAAAATCCAATTCAAGAAAAAAGCATGTAAAGCTGTGTTGGGTAAATGCAGAAACTCTAGACAAACTAATTTGATAATTATTATGTCACATGAAAAGTTCAATCCTAATTAGACAAAATTAACCATTATGACAAATTACCACTGAAGTTGATTTTAGAAATATACAAATGTAGATTATGTGAACAGTTATCAAATAAGGTCTTGAGGTATCATAAATAAACATAGTTTATATACACACATGCATCAATTAACACATAAACACAATTAAAGATATACTATGCTCTTAAGTAAAATATTCTAATCGTAGAAATTTATTGAAATCTATGAAATTCTTGCTGAATATGTCTAATTTTAATAAAATAATGAGTAAACTATGTCTAGGATGCTGCGCTTCCAATTAACAGCTTAAGTAATGCTGGTCTTTCCTTTAAAAAAAACTGCTTTTTTTTTGACATATTCATATTGTGACCACAATCCTATAGTATGTAGAATTTTAAACATAACAAATGCAAAAATGCACTTTGTAAGAAGTCAAAACATGCTTATTTTCATATTCACAAATAGACTGTGTAGCAATCATCAATATTTTCTTATAGTATATCTTTAAATGTCTAACAAACAGAAATAATTTCATTTATCAATAAATCAATATTATTCAATTAGACATGCAGTTTTATTTACAAGTATTACCAAGTGAATTTGTAGCCAATAAGTAAATTCTCAATGTTATTGTTCTTAACATGCACATTTATACATAAACAGACTTGTATAAAGCTATATATCTGATGCAAAATTATTGTTTGAATTTTAAAAATGTATGCTTCCAAAATGCTTGTATGAAATAAATATGGTAATTAATTGCCTTAAAAGCCAATGGTGCATGCACAAAATCATTATAAACGGATAAAACCCTACTTAAAATAGCAAAATAATATTTTGTCCCGGAACATTTTATTCTGTTTACGTACATTATTCATGTGTATTAAATAACAGAGACATTCTATGTTACAACTTTTTCAGGAATCAACCATATAATAATGGAACCAATATAATTTTACTGTTGATAAATTTTATTAAAATATTTCATAAGATAAAGATTTATACCCTTTAATCTAATTTGAACACAAATAAACTTATTATAATCATCACAACAAAATGTTTACTTGCCAAGGTTGGCAAAAACCTAGTATTCAGATTTTACTATCAACCATTCAAATGGTAAATGCAAATATCTTTTCAATGTGAAGAAATATTAAAACATCTCTAAATCAATACATGCTTATTTGCCATTGCTTTTTTAATGTTTTTTTTCTTCTTAAAATGAAATATTTAAGAAAGAAATTAGTACATGTATATGGTCTCTTAAACAGTTGTTTTCACTTTCATGATGAATGTTTTAATATATACTTCCTTGATGCTGGTCTTAAGATCAAGTTTGATTGCAATATGGGTAATGTCCCCTTGAAGAGCACAATTTTACATGTTGTTTAATATGCAGTTACAATACTCCGAAAAGTACCTTTCCTTGACCATTCTTACTTACTTCTGTTATATAATTAAATGAAGAATATTCAGAGACTGTTTCAAAAACCTAGAAATTATTTTCTGTTATTGTATATTATTATAGTTTATCAATTTCATCGGAAGATTCCCCAACAACATTATCCGAGCTTGCACATGTTTCATTATTCAGAATATTTTGGCTTGAATTTTCATCCTCCAGAGTGTTTTCTGTTTGAATGTCATCTCCTTCTTGAGGATGCCCTGAATTTTCACCACCTACATTTTTTTCAGTCTTAACGTCAGCCTTTACCAGATGTCCTTCAGTCCCGTTCCTTTCACCTGAAACCATCCCTTGCGGGCCTGGAAACATTGGTTGATTATAACTGTCAAAGAAAGAGGCTTCTGACTGACTTTGGCTTAATTCCTGAATTTTTGTTAAACCTGTGTAAAACTGTTGTTTATATTGAGGTACTGTAGGAGGTAACTTATGGACACCCCTCTCGTGCTGTTTCAAGTTTGAACTATGCGCAAATTCTTTTCCACAAAGAAAACACTTGAAAGGTTTTTCTCCAGTATGAGTGCGTACATGGACACGCAAATTTGTCTTTTCACGGAATGACTTGTCGCAGAAATCACATTTGTACGTTCTATGTGGACGTGCCAACATCTGACCAGCTCCGGTGGAAAATTCTCCATTACTAGAACTAAGACTATTATTAAAAGCGCTGTCATTTTCATTGAAACCTTTGGCAAAGCTTTGATTCCAGTCCAACTCTAATTGTTTGGCGTTCCTGTTGTTTGCATCAATAATGTTAAAATCTGATAAATGAGAGGTAACCTGGTGTGCATTGTCGTTTTCAGAGTAAGTAGAGTCATTAGAGTACATACCATCATTACCTGGTTCCACCTTTACAATGGACATATCCAGACCAGTCCCACTTTTAACGTAATTTAGGTTATTTTTATACAGATTAAGGTCAGGCAAAGAATGGTCATTTAATGCAAACTGACCTGTTTTGCTATCTTTTCCTTGCATTAAATTGCCTGAAGCATCATTTCTCATAACTTCCTGACCAACAGTTTCGTTCAGTTTGTGCAGGTAGTCAGATGTGGCACGACTAAGGTCTGGGAACATCCCTATAACATGCTGTTGCATTACAGGACTATATGTTCGATCCTCAAGTGATAGTTTAGCCGATTTTGATTTAGAACCTTTACAGCTACCGTCACTTGAAATACTCAACTTTCTCTTCTGTTTAGTAACTACAGCCTCCTTTAAAATGTTTTCATCATTGGTGGGTGTCATGTTCTCTGAAGATTAATAAAATATGTAATGGTATGAAATCAAATTTACTTCTACAAGTATTTAAAAATGAAGTCACAAGCCATGTTTCATACAAACACATAGATACAACATAGATCATGTTCTGTATATACATGTACATGTATCATAGATCCTGTTTCATATACATTGTTAACCATGTTTGATTAACATTATAGACCATGTTTCGTAAACATCATAGACTATGTTTCAAATACATTATAGAAGATAATTCATTAATTTATACATAATATATTTTACCATCATGTTTTATAAACATTAATTTATAATCCATGTTTCACATACATTATAGACAAAGTTTTATTTACATTTCAGACCAAAGATAAACTGAAACTGTAATAGGTTTGGTCATACATGATTTAGGAAATATTGCAAGCTAGTTATAGTTTTTGTGGTCTAAAAAATTAATGCTTGCAAAAAATTTATATCAATGGCCAATCAAAGTTAAAATTAACAGCATACAATTGTTTTATTGAAACATACATGTAAATCAAGTTTTTGTTAAGTTTTTCTAGAAAATCAGGATTCTATACCATGAAAACCCCTCCAAACCCCTTAAAGAAAGAAAAAGAAAACAAAAAACAAGTATATTTTTATATAGAAACAAAAATAAGAAGAAGAAGCTATATACTTCTCAAGCAGAATCCCAGGAACTTTGATTTGATAGACTGTTCTTTCTCCAAGAAAGTTTTCCCATATTCTGAACCAAGGTGAGATAATGTACCCTCAGTTATGTTTGCAGACAACACCACTGTCTCCTCACCTGTCTGTTCACTAAGTTGCTCAACCTATAATTAAATATAATAACTTTTGCAGAGATTAGAAATTAGAAAGGTACCAAAAGCTTGCATTATATCATACTATGTTATGCAATTTTTTTTCAATGAAATACAGATAGTTTCTTACTTTTCAATGAAATACAGTTATTTCCTTACTAAGAGAAAACTGATAAAGGGTTGAACTTGAACTTGTGAATATGTATATATGTAAATACACATAATACAGTGAGTTATTGCAACATTGAACAATGATAAGTTACTGCATAGAAACCAACAGCCTTTTAGTACATGGATTTCTTCATATTTAAAAAAAAACAGTACCAGTTGCCTCTATATACAAAATAAAAAACAAATTAACATAGATCTTATCATCTTAGTTTGTGAAAAAAATCTCACAGAAAACATCCTCTCGAAGTTAAAGGAACTCCACTGAGGTACAAAAACCATAAAAAAATAAAATTTGAGATTCTTACATACTGATCACTTTAACCAGAAAGATGTGTAAAAGAAATACATGTATTAAGAAATAAAATTAGAAGTAAACTGAAATCGTATTTTTGTGCTATTCTTAGCCCAATTTAAGTGGTCATTTTTCACAATTACTAATTATTCTGAGACAATGATCTGAAATGTCTTACAGAAGTTATTAGTCTAAATCTACATAAAATCAAACATATATCTGGAAAAATTATTTCCAGTTCCATCGTGTCAAAAAACCTCAGTGGAGTCCCTTTAAAGTCTAACTAAGTCTATATTTACCAGCACTTGAATCTGTTGCTGTAGAACTGCCTTCAGTATGGCTTTATATCCTGGCAAATCTTTGAGTTCCTCTACATTCATGATTACCATTTATAATAAACCTGAAGTATATGATTTAAATATAATAATATTATAACACAAATAGAAATAGAACTTCCCAACCTTTTCCGTGTTGTCTGTACTCAGGGCCTTTTTACCCTTCTTTGCTGTAGCCTGTATCAGGCTACTTCCCCAAGCCAAATTACTACCTTTTCCTCCCCAAAAACAGGCTAAAATTCCCCTTCTGGCAAATATTTCCCCTTTAACTGAAGAATAAAACTTGTAAAGAAACTTTCTTGTTTTAAAATAGATGATTGTTTTGTCCAATGAAAGCTGATAATTCAATAACCCAATAGAGGGATACCTTGATTTAATACAATTGATGTTAACTCAGAGCCTCAGTCTGAGTTTGCAACTTTCTAAAAACAGCATGGGAAATCCCTGCTGCCTTATTTTTTAGTGCATATGTGATTTGTTACGACAATTTGGCGACCGATACGATGTCACTAATGTACACAATGTCACAGAACAAGAAGAAAATACGATTGAGTGGCGTTTGTAATTGTTTATTAAAAATTGGATGAATTGATGACCTTGTTAGTGCAAGCCCATGTGTCCGAGTAGCACAACATGCCCAACTGTTGGAAATAGCGAGCCTAGCACATCAGTGCCAGTAATACAGTGTAAACTGATAATAATGTACCCTCTGAATCAAACCAAGAACCCTCACATGACCAACGTAAAATACTATAAATAGGAAATATGAGTTAATATAAAGGGGCAATAAATTGATCTGTAAAAAATGTTTTTTACTCCTGTTTGACAGAAAGCTTAGTACTATAGTAACCTTAAATGTGATTGGAGGAAGATATGCAAATAAATTATGACATTCCCCCGAAATGTGTGAAAGTATGATATTTTCCCCAAAAGTGTGAAAATCGCGCATTTTTTCCCCACAAAAAGGGCTAGGGCGCCCTCCCCAAAACTAGTGAAAAGGCCCTGGTACTTTTACCAGTACTGGCATGCGAGCAGTTCCCGTACAAAAATCATAGTTACTTAAACATTATTTTTTATTACGTTCACTCACCAAAATTTGAATGTTACACATCAATATTCAGCTCGTCACACAAATCATGGAAATTCCATGATGTTCTAAACATAAAATAACCCTTACTTATGAGGCCTAAATTAATATGGGGTACCGAAATTATCCATTATTTTGTATGAAGAGAAGTAGTTCCCGTACATAAAATCTAACCCATTATAATTATACAATTTTATTATATCGGACCTATTTTTCATTTACAATTGTTGAACAGACCATTATCTAAGAGATAAATAGATGTAATTCAGGAAATAGAGTGTAGACTAAACGCGGGTATCAATTACCCGGTACCGTTACCCCAACGTATTCACATGCAATAGCATGCTTGTATGCATGATATTTTACGCATCAAAGCCATAAAATTATTATATATAGTAATATTGGTCAACATTCTGATAATTAAACAAGTTTACATCACATTGCCTACTTATTTGTAAACAGGTGGTATTAGTGGAAAACCCTTTAACAAGCCTCACGTGCAAGTATTTTTGCGCATGCGCGCAAGGACGGAATCCCCCAGAGAAAACAAGGTCACGTTTTGACGACGCACAGGTGAAAGTGATTTAAAATGAGACTTTATATACGTACTGCCGAACTGACACTTAGATTTTGTCTCGTTTAAGTATCTGCTTGATTTGAAATGAATTTTTGAAGAATGCAAGTAAAAATCAAGCGTTTAAATGAAAAATACGGGTACTGCTTCTGTACGGGAACTGCTCGCATGCCAGTAGGGGCAAAAGGGCATAGATCTATGTTACTTCATCAAAACAGAGAGACAGTTGTTTTCTATGCAACACGGCAGTTAAAATAGAACATCTATTTCTATGTTTTGAAGTTGTACCTATTTATCTGAATTAAATCACATCATGTACATATCTGTCCGGACACATGGTACTGTAGTGTAGACAATTTAGGTAATTTTGATACCCTCCTTGTCGAGCCTCAGATATAAGTGTCTATACAAAACTAGTTTGTTAGTAAAGAGAAGAACCTACAGTAGCTGAACTGTGTCAAATTTGTTGGTCTCTAGGTTAAAAAATTATGAAAATTATTACGGAAAAATGTTTAAAAAATGTCCGGTTGATGGTCCCCGACCAGTATATCAGTAACCTGCTTTCGGAAAGCCAAATAGATCTATACGATATAATTTAAGAATTGAAGTTAAATTTTACCCGTATTCGCTCTTTTCACATATCCTCCTTTAAAGAGAGCTTTGTTAACAAGGGGGGTAATTTTTGGTGGGGGGAAAATCCCGGGATCGCCTATTGAAAAGCCGGGACCCGGGATCGTATTAAACATATAGTAATCCCGGGAATTGACCACCTACTCTCGGTGTATTATTATTATTATTATCATCATCATCATTTGAATGTTTTTGTAGAGATTTCCTAATAAGTTTGATTCGTAGTAGTTATAAAAAATCTTTGAAAATAACGTATTTTTTTCACAGACAAAAGCGTTAATTGATTGAAAAGCCGGGGTCGTATTAAAACATATAGGGATCCCGGTTGAGAAAAGCCGGGATCGTATTAAAATATATAGAGATCCCAGGAATTGGCCAGTTCAAGAATATTGTTTTTCAGAAAAGCTGGGATCGTATGAAAACGTACAGGGATTCCGGGATTTGACCAATTCAAGAATATAGTCTTTATTTTTTCCAATTAATTAGGCATATAATTATAAGTATTGTGATTTCCGCATTTTAAGTTTGTTAGTAAATAGCTCTAAATATATTTATATCCTAAGTTAAATTAATTTAACGTTCATTACATCCAATAAAAAATAAAAACTTAACGTTTTTAATCGCCTTTCATTACTACTGTAACAGGAGCCAGGACTGTTTGGCTTAAATACCCAGGTTCGATCTATATTTTATAGTGTGTGCTTATTTTGGAAAGAGACAACTAAATGTAATAACTTTACACTCACAATTTTATTATAAGCAGACAAGCTGTATGAAATACATTACTGAATATAATACCATATTTTATATAATTCTGAAATAAACCCTGAATATAATTTGTAAGAATTAAATAAATGTTCCTCTAAGAGCCAAAATGAAACCTAAAATCTAAATTAAAAAAAGAAATAGAAAAATTTAGAGAGAGAAAGATGGTTCAGTTCTAAGGCCTATGAAATAGGTAACACTTTACCTTCAGCTCGGCGACCAAAGCACTGAACGCTGGGCATAGGCTGGGAGCCTATTTATGCCAGGGATTTCCCGCCAAAAATTGAGGGACATTACCAAAATAAACATAAAATCAAGTACTGTCATTAGACTGCATATATAAAACTATAGTGAAACTAATTGTACACATAGTTCATGTTATTATTTAACAACCCTCTGGAAGGAAAAACAAGAAGCATGAAAATCTCATGCTGCAAGTACAAGTACGCTATACTGTAACTTAAAGGTGTATAACCATACACTGATAATGTAAGGAAACTGCCTAAAAAGAATGATTTCAGGTCCTTATAAACATGTAGTTTAAGGATAAATACTCTATAAAATTGGAATATATGAAAAGCCAGGGTTATAACTGCGTTACTGAAACGTATTAAAGAAGTTAACTTATACATACATGTATAAACATCTAATGTACTTCATATAAAATCAAGGTGTATGCCTTTAATAAACCCTCACTAGGTGTACTGAAGAAAAGTAGTTCAAAATAGGCCATACCAACATAATTATATGGTTATATAGATAGTATGAAATGAACAATATACTATAGAAAATATCGCTCCTGCTACACTCCCCCCACCTTAAGATCTAAATTGATTAATTTAGTCAATAATAATTTTGAAAATAAGCAGGAAGATATTTTCATTGTAACATAAGAAATGTCCTTATTAACAAAACGCAAAGTGAAAACTTTCACTGATCAAAATCTAACAAATTTAAGCGTTAAAATTGAAAGTCCTGAATAAATGAAGTAGAAGTACACTTAGAATAAATTCTGCGTTTCACTATGATAAATTAAACACTGTATTTAAAGAATGTCATAAAGCACTGTTGATCTTCTTGTCTTCGGACATCTGCATTGAAAGTAGAATAAGGAAACATTTGGATCCACATCATACCCATTTTAAGGTCTTATGCCTGGTTTGACCTTAAATGGACCTACTCCAGTATAGGCGACTTATCCGCGGCCCCCAGTTGGGTTTGGCGGACCTAGCAGCACGTCGGCTGACCAGGCGAATAAAAAAACATTACTGTTGAATACGGTGCCACTTAGGTTTTCGATGAATGAACAACTGCCCTTGTTCAACCATGGCAACCTCATCCCGGCAGACAATTTGTTTACGAGTTTGGTAATCAAGAACATCTTCCACGTACCCTTCCAAAATATCTGGACGCATCATCTGCAAAAAATAGGTTATAGTAACCTTTAAAACATATTCAACATATTTATAAACAAAACTAGTGTATTTTGTGCCTTTTTTTTTTTGAAAAATACTTATGCAAATTAAATCGCGCAAAAACCCGAAAGAAATGAAGTTCTACCAAAGTGTCTCAGCCTGGTTAAGACAGATTTTCTGAGATAAACCCCATTGTAGTACTATATCATTATAGTCTAGGCTCAAATAATGAAGTCAGATCATGCAACTGACAGAAGAAGAACTGTAGCGCTATAATTCTAAATATGTTTACAGGTGATCTTCTTCATTTTGATTGTTTAACCGCACGCTGATAGAAAAATCAATTCATTCAGAAATACTATTCTATTCAATTTACATTAGTACACATACAGCAAACCTATTGATATATTTGTAAAAATTAGTCAATTAATATAGACCAATAAAATAACTTTGTCAAACTGGACCAATTAAAGACCCGAACCATTTTTCTCTCATAACAAATATCAATTTTCAATCTCATAACAAATATCAATTTTCAATTAGCTTTTCAAAAAAAAATGTGAGTTTATTTTATTTCAAACAAGAATCCCTCATATGTACAATTTTAAGATATCTCTATACCTTTATATATATATATATATGTATACGAGCATAATTTATACTTTTCAATAACAGAAATATTTATCATGGCTAACGCCAACTGAATATATATGTAATATCAAGACATTACATTTTGTCATGATTAACAATACATATTATTCCAAAGAATACACATAACAAGTAATTTAGTACTGTATGATAATACAAAATACAAACATAATGCCATATAAAGCAATATACGTAATCTGTATAAGACATGGTTATGACAAAACAATAACATTGTCATTTAGATACTTGACATTATAAATACACAAACGTATATCCTACATGTAGATAAATATTATCCACACACATTTACATGGAAACCTTATTTTAATGTGACAGCATACATGGGACAAGAAAATATAATGATTTCATAGATTGTTCATGTATATGTACATTGCAATACATGATTAGTGGAAATCTAAATCTATTATCAGGGATGATAAGATAACTTAGGAACTATTATCATCTCTGACATCGCACAAGATACATTTAGTTGATGCATCTGTGGTAAATTATTTACAAGTAAAAAGTCTTGGTATCTGTTTGGGTTTATTTAAGACGGTGAAAATATAATTTTAGGCTTCACCCGCCTTCCGGCTCTAGATACATATGGCGTGACCTCTGTTTGCTGGTCATCATCCGGTGAAGTGCTATTAGCCACTTCTTCGTTTTCATCATCGGGATAATTTGGATGGTGTACATTTAGTATTTCAGACTCGCTGTCACTAGAATCAGTATATGTTCTAGTTCCCTGATAAGGTTTTAAGTGGTCTATATGAACAGTAACCCGTTTCTTTGTCTCAACATGTTCAATAGTGTAAGTCACATCAGTGATTCTCTTAATTACAGTATATGGACCTGTCCACCCTAGCCCAAGTTTTGTATTAGCATATGTTTGGACATATCCGTATACTGTGGTGACTTATAGTTCTGTGAGGGATTGGAATATGTATACAAGTTCTGTGCAGTCTTGTCTTGATAGTGTGACTGCGATGACACTGCATGAGGTTCAAAATACCGAACCTTTTGTGCTGAGTTCATATTGTTAGAATACTGTTCTGTGTGCATGGAGCCGTGACTCCTTTGTTTTAGATATTCCTCATAACCTAGACTCATAATTTTATCAGGTGTGTTTGGTGATATATCATTTAGACTTGTGTTTATTCCAACAGACCTGTATTTTGAGATGTAATCTGGATCAGATATTTGTACATCACCCTGTACATTTTGCATAACTGATGGTCGTGGTGTTATAACACTGCTTGTGGTAAAAACAGTATTAGACAGTGTGTATGATGACGGGACACTATGCCTATGATGTGGTACCATATCTAAAGTACTAACGTCAATCAAAAGTGAAGGTAAACTTTCGCTATCACCCTGTACGTTTACCGTACTATTTTCATGTCTAAATGCAGAATCAGTTTGCAAACTATCGTTAACTAATTTTGAATTCAATGCACTTCTCTTGGTAGGGACTGTATCAACTTTTGTTTCACCCTGTACCTTTGAGAAAAGATTCCTCGAAAATTGTACATGTTCAGAATGCACTGGTGTGTGGGACATTTCAGAATGAGAGATGGAAAAGGGCGGACTTTGTTTTATCAAAATTTCAGAAGCAGGATCTTTTGTGTCACCCTGTAGCCTATGTGTCATGTCACTAGATGAAACAGTATGGTCATAACATGATATAGGATCTGTTGTATCTGTTTGTGTTGTCAATATTTGGTTTAACTCTAAGGTGGAATTGTCTACTCTGTCTTGTGTATTTTCAATTGTGTTTGTTTTATGATGCGGTGTACGGCTTGTATTTTGTTTAGTACTCGACGGCGACCACCAACGGTCCCACCAACTACCGTTATTTGACATTGTTTGCGTGTAAGTTCCAATGAATTTACACAAAAGCGCACATGTATATATATATATATATATATGTTTATATAATACACAAAATTTTTTCCAAAATAAAACTATCCTGGTCACGGCACCAAATGTAACAGGAGCCAGGACTGTTTGGCTTAAATACCCAGGTTCGATCTATATTTTATAGTGTGTGCTTATTTTGGAAAGAGACAACTAAATGTAATAACTTTACACTCACAATTTTATTATAAGCAGACAAGCTGTATGAAATACATTACTGAATATAATACCATATTTTATATAATTCTGAAATAAACCCTGAATATAATTTGTAAGAATTAAATAAATGTT